ATGAAAGAGCTAGATTAACTAAAACATTATCAAAAATTAAAGAAGATGAAGGTGATGTTACAGAAGCAGCTAAAATTCTCCAAGATCTTCAAGTTGAAACTTATAGTACTATGGATAAAAGAGAAAAGATTACATTCTTTATTGACCAAATGCGTCTTTGTATGAACAATAAAGATTTTATTAGAGCACAACTTATTGGTAACAAGGTAAATAGAAAAACATTATTAGAAGATGAAAATCAAGACCTCAAAGTTGCTTATTATGAACAAATGGTACGTTATTATTCTCATTCAAGTGAATATATAGAAATCGCTAGATGTTATCTCCAAATCTATGAAACTCCATCAATCCAAAAAGATACTACCCAATTACACGATACTCTTAAATTAATCTCGCTCTTTGTCACTCTATCACCATCATCAAATGAACAATCAGATTTATTAAATAGAGTTTATGGTTTTAAACCATTGGGTGATATTCAAGTTTATAAGTAAGTAGATATATATCTAAATTATATAAAATTTTAAATATTGATATTAATTTTTATTTATTTCTAAATTATTTACAGAGATTTATTAAATCAATTTAAGACCATTGAATTAATTAGATGGACAAGTTTCTTTGAAATTAATAAAGCAGAATTAAATACTCAAAAAATCTTTAATGGTGAAAAGAATTGTTGGGATGATCTCCGTAAGAGAGTTATTGAACATGTAAGTTAGAGTTGTATTTAAATATTTTATAAACCTAATATTAACTTTTTTTTTTATTTTTTTTTTTTTAGAATGTTCGTGTTATTTCAACTTATTACCAAAAAATTTCAACTAAAAGACTTGCTGAATTATTGGATCTTTCATTAGACGAATCAGAGAAGTTTGTTTCAGATTTAGTTTCAAACAAAACTATTTTCGCCAAAATTGATAGACCAGCCGGTATTGCTACATTTATTGCCACCAACGATCCAAACAAAGTATTAAATGGTTGGGCCTCTAATGTTACCCAATTACTTGATTTAGTTGAAAAAACAAATCACTTAATCCAAAGGGAATTTATGCTTCACAAAATTAATTAAAAAACATTGTCATATTAAAAAACTAAAAAAAAAAAATTAATAAATATATTTGATATAGAATTTTAAACAAAATATATTCCATAGTTTATGAGAAATATAGATTTTTTTTTTTTTTTTTTTTTATATTATATTATATTATATTATATTATATTATATTTTATTTTATTTTATTTTATTTTATTATTAATTATTACTATATTGTTTATTGTTTGTTGGCAACTTTAGTTGAATAGTATGGATCATCAACTTCTCTGTATTTGTTAACGTGTTGGGTTGGTGGAATTGGGGCACATGGGTGACCAGTTAATGGTCTTCTTTCGATTCTTGAACCAATAATAAAAGCAATACCTAAAGTAACAGCAACACCGACAATAGCAGTGGTGAAGTTTCTCTTGTAACCAAGTGGTTTAACACACCAGTAACCTATATTTATTAATTTAATTAATATTATATTTAAGTGATTTTGCAACATTCAATATAAAAATAAACCTACCGCCTGGAGTAGTATAAATAGTTTTTGGATATTGATAACGTGGCTATAATTATTATTATTATTATTATAATTATTATTTATTATTGTTAATTGATTGAATTAGTATATTAGATATAAATAAGCACTTTACTAATTAAAAAGGAGGAATAAGATGTTTTAAAGATAAAGTGTCCTATATGATAGAGTATCGAAAGGTAAAAATGGTTACATACTTGAGCACCCATTTTAAATGATTATATATATGTACAAATGATAAAAACAAAAAAAATAAAATGCGAAAAAAAATTTAAATATTTTTTAAAAAAAATTTTTTATAATTTTTTATTTTTTTTTTTATTTTTTTTTTTTATTGATTAATATAGAAATATAATAATTTTTAATAAATATCTATAAATTATTTATATAAATATCTTTAAATCCATCAAATTCATTTTGTTTTAAATAAATTATAAGTAATAAACCAAAAATATATATAAAAAGTTCTTAATTTGTATAAAAAAATAAAAAAAAGATTTTTTTTTTTTTTTTTTTTTTTTTTTTTTTAAAAAACCCAATGGCATTTTTAATTTTTTTTATTTTTTTAATTTTTTTTTTTTATTTTTGGAAAAAACAATAAAAAGAAAAGATTTGTAAAAAACCGTTTATTTAAAACCTATACAGGATATCGTTTTTATTCATCAAAAGGGGAATTTGAGGGTTTTTTTCAAAAACCAAAACCGAAAATCAATCGAGAAAACAATAATAGCCACCCTTTAAATAATAAAAATGATAAAGATAATGAAATAGAAGATTTCAATAATTTTTTTCAAAAACCAAAACCAAAAATTCATTTAAACTTTACAGAAAATATAAAAAATAATAAGGCTTTTTCATCATTACCAGCACCAAGACCAAACCAACACCAACACCAACACTATTATCACCTGACATTCCACCAAGCATCGAAATTAAAGAACAATATAAAGAGTTATATGACCAAATTAAATCAGAGATAAAAGATGAAGATTTAGAATCAACAAATTTAATATTATCATCAAAAGAATCACTTCCACAATTACTTTTTTTAATACTATCATCAAATTCAATAGAGATAACAAAAACATATCAAAATTTATTTAATATAATAATGCAATCACCAAAAATAACAAATAATAAACTTTATATAGGTAAAATAATAAATGACCTTTTAAATATAATAAACAATAATCAATCATTAGAGGCAAATATATATTCATATGACGAATCTGAAGATTTCAATAATGATGATAAATATAAAGTTTCAAAAATATTTTCAGAATTAATTTTTTATAATGAGGTTTATCAAAAATCAAATAATCAGATTATATTTAAAGAGCAAAGCCAAGAGAATGAAGAAGCAGAGAAAGATGTTTACAAAGTTATTTTAAATTGTTTACAAGACGAGTTTACAAAGTTACCATTTCAAGATATTAAAGAGCAAACAATTATCAATTCCCTAATGTTGTTTTTACATTACAATAGATATCATCTAGCATTAAAGTGGTTGTCAATTGGTACAGAAAATAATATCACAAAGAAACTTTTATACAAATGCTTTTTTTTATACCACATCAATAAAAGTAATGCAAGTAGAGTTAAAAAAGATGAACAACTATTAAATTACTGGATAGAGCTGTATAGTACTATAAATACCAACGAAGATGATAATAATATCGATACCAAAGAAAATGAAAGATTTTTAAAAAATTTAAATGATGAATATATTTATTCAATTTATAATATTTTAAATAATAGTAATAATATTCAGCACAATTATAAAAATAGTATTGTTTTAAATAAAGATAATAGATATTTTGATGATAATTTAGAAATTTTAATTTCATCAACAAAAAATATTATAGGTTCAAAAGATAATACAAATAGAATCAATACGTTAAAAGAATATTTAGAAACTGTATATTTTAATAATAGAATAATACCAAATGGGAAGCAATTAATTTTAGCATCAGAATATATTAAATCAAATTCAAAAGTAGACCATACCCATTGGTATAATACCAGCGTACCAGACTTTATTAAACCGATGATCCACCATTACCCATCACAGCTTTTAATTATTCAAGATTTTGAAAATGGTTTAAGAGTGTTTATAAATGAAAAGAATTATATAAATGAAGAGACAATGAAAGGACTGCACTCTAATAATGAGTTGTTAACATTTATATTGTTTGGCCTTGTAAATAGAAATCAATTTGAAATGGCAAATATGGTATTGGAAAAGTTAACATACAATTTATATTCAAAACCATTTATTGGTCTCAATCTTACAATAGACGGTCAGGTGGTAAAAAAGCTAAGTGCTCATTTATCGGTGTGTGATGTATCTTCTTCTTTTAAACAGGTTAGTCCACTCTTAATTCAATCCTTATATGAAAATTGCACATTATCATCAAGCAAATCGGTCAAAACAATGTACGATACTTTAGCAAACATCAAACGTCCCTATTCAATACCAGCTTCATTAAAATACCATTTACCCATAGAGATTGCTAATATGGCTATGCTCTCACTCCTTAAAAAGGGTGAGGTTCTAGAGGCCTATGGTTTATTTCAGACAATCCCAAGAAAGAACCCCTACTGCTTAAGAATTGGTCTAATGATTTACTCTAAAATGTACCCAATACCGCCACTCGAAAACTTTTTAAAATGGGAAAGTGTTCTTTATCACTATAGATTAAATTCCGTTAGTGGTGATTTGTTAAAAGACTCAATTGTAATATTACTCTATCAATCAGGAAATAAAAATTTAATAGAAAGACTTCACCACAAAGGTGCATTTTCAAGTAAATCCCTCTCACAAGAAGCACTGCTATCGTTATTAAAATCATTTGAAGATTTGGGAAAATACAAAATGATTAAAATCATATTTTCAGAGTATAGATTATTAAAAAGATACAACGCCTCATTACTTCAATTCCTTTCTCATATCAATACCACATACCTAAACGATGACCAAATTAATCACTTTATTCAAAAGTATCAAGAAACAATGATCAATGACATTATAAATAATGAACCAGACCAACAACCATTATCACAGGATATAGAGTCACTATTATATTTTATATTTAACGAAAATATTCAAGATAAAATTTTAAAAGATGAAATGGATAAAAAAAATAAAATTTTAAATAAAAAAAATTATAACTTAGATAATAATAATAATAATAATAATAATAATAATAATAATAATAATAATAATAATAATAATAATAATAATAATAATAATAATAA